TGAGAGTTATCCTTGTAAGCCTGGAACAATGCAATATGTCTATACAAAAGCAGGTCAATAAACGATCAGATAGTAGGACAAAACTGTCATTTGAAGGAATTTGAAAAAACCCGATATATTGCAACTCAAAGGGCTGTTGTGTAGCAGAGCTGGCTATAGCATCCATATCGTCCGTGATTCAAAAGTATCAATATTCCGCCACTAGCTAACAGCGAAAATAGTATGAAACGCGGACGAAACGAGAGGAACCCGTAGAAAAAGCAGCTTCTCAGTTTTTAATAAAGGCAGCTCAAACGTGAAGGGATTAAAAGGCACACTTATGTTAATAAATAGGGAAAAACAGAATAAATGAAGAGACAGAGCGGAGTGTTTTAAGTAACAGTTTCGATAGTTAGGTAAGCTCTAGCTTCCTCAAACTTTGTTTTAAAGAAAAAAAAACATAGCTCATTAGTTCCATACCCGTTTACTTTCATATGTTCTTATAGTGAAGGGCTAGTATGTAACGACACAACTCTATGGTTTTATTCTTCTCCTTTAATTAGTGTCCTGCGAGAGCTTAAAGTCGGGGATACGACTTTAATCAAGTGATGATATCAAAGTAAAACAAAATAAAATAATATTGGAGCAAATTTGTTGAAAAGAAGTCAAGCAAACTGGTGATCAAGGAAAGATAATGAAACAAAACACACTCAGCCTGCTTCGATTTACGGATGGCATCATCCCGCGAGTTCCTCAACACGAATCTCAAGTCATTTCTAGCACTCTGCCTCTTCTTCTTTCGCAAATAACTGAACGCACAGGATCCACAGCTTTGAAACAACTCAAAAATGAAGATTTGAAAAGATACTCACAGTTTCAACAAATCTGGATCTACATTGGAAACCTTTAATCCTGGAGCGGATCGTGTGCGTCCAGGAGGTGCCCAAGAGGGGGAGCCAATATTGCTTTGTATAGCAATATCAGTAGTGGCTAACTTGCAGCTTTCAAGAGCATGCCTGAAC